AAGCATTGCAAGCCTTGGAACGAGCCCAAACCCAGGGTTACAAGGCCAAAAAGGGGGTTTGGGGCACTTCAGGCCGAAGAGGCAGGCACCAAGAGGGGAGAGGAAACAAACACGGAGCAGCACCTAAGGGACGAAGGACAAGGAAGGGGCAGAGCAGCACACCACACCGGTGAGGGAAGAAAGGCATGGGATACACCGCAACCACGAGGAGCTGGACCCCATGGAGGACCACCGGAAACCAGGAAACTGCCGCGCAGCCAGGGACGTGGCAGGCGCGACTGCTGAACCCGAGGAGGGCACCGGAGGTCAGGGAACAGCAACCCAAGCATTGCAAGCCTTGGAACGAGCCCAAACCCAGTGTAACAAGGCCAAAAAGGGGGTTTGGGGCTCTTCAGGCCGAAGAGGCAGGCACCAAGAGGGGGGAGGAAACAAACACGGAGCAGCAACTAAGGGACGAAGGACAAGGAAGGGGCAAAGCAGCACACCACTCCGGTGAGGGCAGAAAGGCATGGGATACGCCGCAACCGCGAGGAGCTGGACCCCATGGAGGACCACCGGAAACCAGGAAACAGCCGCGCAGCCAGGGACGCGGCAGGCGCAAATGCTGAACCCGAGGAGGGCACCGGAGGTCAGGGAACAGCAACCCAAGCATTGCAAGCCTTGGAACGAGCCCAAACCCAGGGTTACAAGGCCAAAAAGGGGGTTTGGGGCACTTCAGGCCGAAGACACAGGCACCAAGAGGGGAGAGGAAACAAACACGGAGCAGCAACTAAGGGACGAGGGACAAGGAAGGGGCAAAGCAGCACACCACTCCGGTGAAGGCAGAAAGGCATGGGATACGCCGCAACCGCGCGGAGCTGGACCCCATGGAGGACCACCGGAAACCAGGAAGCAGCCGCGCAGCCAGGGACGTGGCAGGCGCGAATGCTGAACCCGAGGAGGGCACCGGAGGTCAGGGAGCAGCAACTTGGAACGAGCCCAAACCCAGGGTAACAAGGCCAAAAAGGGGGTTTGGGGCACTTCAGGCCGAAGAGGCAGGCACCAAGAGGGGAGAGGAAACAAACACGGAGCAGCAACTAAGGGACGAAGGACAAGGAAGGGGCAAAGCAGCACACCACTCTGGTGAGGGCAGAAAGGCATGGGATACGCCGCAACCGCGAGGAGCTGGACCCCATGGAGGACCACCGGAAACCAGGAAACAGCCGCGCAGCCAGGGACGTGGCAGGCGCGAATGCTGAACCCGAGGAGGGCACCGGAGGTCAGGGAACAGCAACCCAAGCATTGCAAGCCTTGGAACGAGCCCAAACCCAGGGTTACAAGGCCAAAAAGGGGGTTTGGGGCACTTCAGGCCGAAGAGGCAGGCACCAAGAGGGGAGAGGAATCAAACACGGAGCAGCAACTAAGGGACGAAGGACAAGGAAGGGGCAAAGCAGCACACCTCTCCGGTGGGCAGAAAGGCATGGGATACGCCGCAACCGCGAGGAGCTGGACCCCATGGAGGACCAGGAAACAGCCGCGCAGCCAGGGACGTGGCAGGCGCGAATGCTGAACCCGAGGAGGGCACCGGAGGTCAGGGAACAGCAACCCAAGCATTGCAAGCCTTGGAGCGGGCCCAAACCCAGGGTAACAAGGCCAAAAAGGGGGTTTGGGGCACAACAGGCCGAAGAGGCAGGCACCAAGAGGGGAGAGGAAACAAAGACGGAGCAGCAACCAAGGGACGAAGGACAAGGAAGGGGCAAAGCAGCACACCACTCCGGTGAGGGCAGAAAGGCATGGGATACGCCGCAACCGCGAGGAGCTGGACCCCATGGAGGACCACCGGAAACCAGGAAACAGCCGCGCAGCCAGGGACGTGGCAGGCGCGAATGCTGAACCCGAGGAGGGCACCGGAGGTCAGGGAACAGCAACCCAAGCATTGCAAGCCTTGGAACGAGCCCAAACCCAGGGTTACAAGGCCAAAAAGGGGGTTTGGGGCACTTCAGGCCGAAGAGGCAGGCACCAAGAGGGGAGAGGAAACAAACACGGAGCAGCACCTAAGGGACGAAGGACAAGGAAGGGGCAGAGCAGCACACCACACCGGTGAGGGAAGAAAGGCATGGGATACACCGCAACCACGAGGAGCTGGACCCCATGGAGGACCACCGGAAACCAGGAAACTGCCGCGCAGCCAGGGACGTGGCAGGCGCGACTGCTGAACCCGAGGAGGGCACCGGAGGTCAGGGAACAGCAACCCAAGCATTGCAAGCCTTGGAACGAGCCCAAACCCAGTGTAACAAGGCCAAAAAGGGGGTTTGGGGCTCTTCAGGCCGAAGAGGCAGGCACCAAGAGGGGGGAGGAAACAAACACGGAGCAGCAACTAAGGGACGAAGGACAAGGAAGGGGCAAAGCAGCACACCACTCCGGTGAGGGCAGAAAGGCATGGGATACGCCGCAACCGCGAGGAGCTGGACCCCATGGAGGACCACCGGAAACCAGGAAACAGCCGCGCAGCCAGGGACGTGGCAGGCTCGAAGGCCGAACCCGAGGAGGGCACCGGAGGTCAGGGAACAGCAACCCAAGCATTGCAAGCCTTGGAACGAGCCCAAACCCAGGGTTACAAGGCCAAAAAGGGGGTTTGGGGCACTTCAGGCCGAAGAGGACGCGAGGACGAAAAGCTTCCCTCCAGCGAAGCGAGGCCGAAACTGTGCACTCGAACGTCCTTCGTCGTCGGCAGCAGTTGGCGGGCCGCCGCTCTATGACAGCTTAGCCGGTCAGCCGGCCTACGAGCAAACACAGTTTTGCCAGGGCCTCAAAACGGAACCTACCCTTAGTTACAAGCCCCAGGGCCAGCCACAACGGCACTAAGACGCTCTCTACCTGAGCACCCCACCGGGGTTGAGCCGAAACCTTGAGCCAGACAGGAACTTTCGTCTGCACGCTGCTTGGCGTAGCCACCCGAAGGGGCTGAGGTTAATAGGTGAAACATACAAGCTACAAACTCTGCACAGTGAGACTACCGGTACTAGCCCTCACTTCCCTCAGACATTTGTCGAGGCCGAAATCCATTCCCTCAGACCGTGGTCGAGGCCGAAAGTCCCTCAGGCCATGCTGAGGCCGAAGTTCCCTCTCTTGCACCCCTCAGACCGAAGTCGAGGCCGAAACTCCTCAGCCAGCACGCCGAGGCGGTATTTTGATTCGGTTTTTTTGGTGCCTCTCTGACCACTATCCATGTTTCTTGTCTGGCTTGCGCTGCTTACTCATCAGCTTCGTCATACGGCATGCCCAGCGTGATTTTCTGGATCTCTGTTGCCGGAACCGAAAGTAGGGTTCCATCCCATCCTCGTTTTGCAATCCCGGCATCCAGCAGGTGCTGGGCAAATGGCCCGACATTGCCTACGCACGCCATCCAAAGCGCGCTGGCCTTGCCGTCGTACGTTCTGACCAATCCACGTATGGTTGCCAGTAGCTCCTCATCATACTTCTCCAGGAGGCGTACAAGGCCGCTTGATAGCTTGTATCTCTCCTCCTGCAGCATCGTCCACTCCGCCGTGTCAAAGAACACTGCCCGTGGTAACGATCCTGACATTGGGTCGCGCCCAACGTTGCTCACCGTGACATCCGATAGAGCAACTCCTTGCATGGTCAGCCATGACGTTATAGCCACCAGGTAAAACAGGGACTGTCTGAGGACCCCGGCTTCATGGCGATGTTCCTGCCACCATGTGTTGAACAGCTCTGCCCTGCGGATGATACTTCCATAGAAGTAGTGGTGGCAGTAACCCTCCACCGCTTCGTCGAAAAGGACTCCAATCCATCCTGCCCACAGGGTCCTGGTGACCAGGGTGGGGAATTGTTCCCCATACCCTGCTTCGTTGCCAAAGCTCTGGGGTTCCATCGCCAGTTTCATGACCCATAGCCGATCCAGAGCATATCCTCGTCGAGTGCGCCCTGCACCTATGAAGGGAAGCACCCTAGGCTGTAAGCTTTGCCCTGTCGTTGGGTTGCGGACCAATTGGACCTCCCCAAGCCAATGGAGCGCTGTCCTTGGCCTTTGCTGGTTCTGCAGTTTGTGCACCAAAAGGTGCACAGGCTTGGCTTGCCCCATGGCTTCCTTTTTCTCCTTTCCCTCAGCTTCCTGCGAGGCCATATTGTGGGCACCTGGCCCTTCCGCCAGCGTGACTGTACGAGGCTCGCTTGCCTCTTGCTCTGTATTGACACCCTCAGCTTGGTGCGAGGCCGCGCTGTCTTCTCCTCTCTCCCGTAGGCGTACCGGACCCACCGGAGATTCCGAAGCACTCTCCTCTTCCCTCTCCCAAGGCTGCTCCGGGTGTCTGGCCTGTCGAAGCGGGGAACGTTCTCGGGGCTGGTCCTTCTGCTTGCTCTTGCTTTTGCCCTTGCCTTTGTCCGGCCGATTCCTTAACCAGGATGGCAGTCGGGACCCTTGTCTTCTCATCGTAGCATCCGTCTTCCATTGCCTCATTGCTACAGGCCCGCCTTGAGGATGAGGACGCCGTTGTTTCACCCTCACTCTGCGAGGCCGAGGCCTCCTCTCTTACCCTCTGCGGTGTCGCAAGCACGCAGCACCGCGAGGCCGAGCTACACTCCCTCAGCAAAGCGAGGCCGTAAAACCAATCGCAATTCCCCGTTGCGAGGCCCTCACCCTCAGCTACGAGGACGAAACCCTGTCTCCTTGCACCAAACGGCTGCGGAATTACTGCGTTCCCTCAGCTTGGCGAGGCCTAACAAACAATGACATCTTCTGCTGTGCGCTGGCTTGGGGCTTGGCTTTGGCGTGTTTCCCACCAAACTGAACGCGAGGCTGTTGAAACTGGACGTTGCTCATACTTCCACCATTGACAAGGGTTTGCGCTTGGGTAACCAGCTTGCCCTGAGAAGTCCGCGATTTGCACTCCCCCGCCAGGCTTTTATTGCACTTCTGGCTGACCGGTGCATGTGTTCGGTCACACTTTGTGCAAACCCAACGGATTCCCAAATTCACCATATTATGGGAGGGGTGGATACCCCACTCTTCACGCACTCGCGCCTCCGGCTGGTTGACGCAGTACTGCTCCAAGACCACCTCCAAGTTCGTGAGGGTTTGTTGTACATACAACCCGCACAGTTGACATTTCAGTGTTAAATTCCGGGGGTGTTCGCTGCCCTTCTCCCATTGATGCCCGCGCTCCGGGTCTTTAAGCAACTGCCATAGCCGCTGGCGTTTGTTGAGTTTGGCGTTGCCCTGCTCTTTTTTGCATCCCTCAGCTTTCTGCGAGGCCTCCATCTTCTCTTTGTAATGCGCATGGTCCAGAATGAAGGGGAAGTCTTCTTCTTTGCGCTTCCTCAATATGTGGGCTGCGCGTGCACCGTACGCCAGGGAAAGTGTGCGCACCACATTGTCCAACTCTTTGACACGCCTCTTGTGCGCTGGGCTGTAAGCAGCCGCCGCTACTGCACCACATACTTTGTCTGCCATGTCATTCGCTGCACGTCGCCACAACGTGCCCGGCCCCATCTTCGCCAGGAATTCCTCTTCAGTTTTGTGGGACGGGACCCAGGTTGCCTTGATACGTTTCCTGTCATTCCACACTTTGCTCCATTCCAGGTCATCCTCCGGCGGTTGTGTTTTTTGTAGCACTTGGACTGCCGGCTTGCAATCCATAGTGACATCAATCAGATCCTCCGTGTGCTCCATTAGTCGGAAAAGTGCACGGCGCTCCATGTCCACCACCGGCTGCCACGGGTAGACCAGCTCTGTAATCCGTCCGGCTTCCCCCAGGACACCATTTGTCCAGGACATAGCCACCACTGCGAGGGCTGATGTTTGTACACGTGGGTCTATTCCTCCTGGACCTCCACTTGCGTCAGTGGCGAAGATCAAGCCTTCCGCTTCCACTTTTGCATCTGCTGCAAAGCATCCTTGGTAACGTAGACCTAAAAGGTGTTCCGGCGGCTTCGGGTGCCACACCGCCGGCTTTGGCAGGAGTGCCCTTGTCCACAGACACTCCCATGGGTATTTGTGACGCAAGTATTCCTGGAGCTTGGGTTCTTTGAACCCTTGTTCACGCCAGTAAGGACATTCCTTGAGGACATGCTCCAGAGTTGCTGGCATTTGGCACTTCTTGCACCATCCTGGCTTGGACTCCGTGATGACGCCCGCGTGCCACACTGACTTTATACCTTCCATAAGGCCTGGACTGAGGCCTCCCAGCTTCGTCAGCTTGTGATGCGGCGTCCAATCCAGCCCCTCTTGGGCACCAGCGCCACCTGCCTGTCGCGCTATCGCAGCCCGCTTCTGTTCCTCCAGGAATCCCTCAAGCCATTTGTAGGCGAGGCTACCCATGCGTGGCTGGGTCCAATCAACGTTGAGGACACTCCCTCTCTTCCATTTGCCTGGGTCACTGGCATCTACCTTCAGATCCAGTAAGTACGCCATGGTTGCTGCCATCGGCCCCGTGACCAGTGGCCAGTGGTGTTTGGCCGCACTCAACCTCTTCCAAGTGGTTTTCCAGGCCAAGTCAAAGTGGGCTTTTCCGCCACCGATCCATGCACGGAAAACTTTGGCCACCACTTTGAAATGCTGCTTGTGGATTGTGCGCTTTGGATCCTGGCATTTCTTGGCTCCCATGTCCAATATGGTTTCCAAACTCCCAAGCTTGTATTTACCCAGGTGTTTTCCTACCACTGTTCGGAGCCATTTCATTCTTTTGGGTGAAACCCCCACAGATGGGTGCCCCCACAAAGCAACTGATGTGATCGCTGCCTTGACCACGCGGAGTTTAGTGCTGGGCGGCGGCCCCAGCCTAGACAGTTTGCTATGTCTCGCATGGGCTTTCTTGGCCCGCGTTGCCGACGTCACCAAGCGACGCTTTCGCCCCCCTGTACTGTCGACGCCCAGGTCACGCATCACGTCGTACACCTGTGGCTCATGAGGCAGCAGGAGTTCACGCAGGTGCTTGCTCGCCTGGGTACTGCTGGCCACAAACCCTGTCTTCTTGGATGAAATCTTGAAACCATTAGCATCCATCCCGTCCTTTAAGCTGCGGTAGACTCGTATGGCACTATCCGCCACGTGTTTAAAGGACTTATGCTGGATGTCAATTGAGACATCATCCAACCAACAGTCCACGTTTGCCACATCTCGTCGCCTTTGGATCTTTTCTATCACCGGGTGCAATGCCACCTTTGCTAACGATGGCGCCGCTGGGCAACCCGCTTGCACGCCATTTGTAGCTCTGATGCCTGCCGATAGCACCCCATCCGCCACCAAGTATCTGGCACCCATGTACACTTCCAGTGCCATCTTCAGGATTAGCGGTGGATATTGCAGGGCCGTTGCTGCCATGATCAATTGCTGAAATTGGATGGTATCGAAAAAGGACTCGAGGTCCACAAAGAGTGACACCACATGCACTCCATTTGTCTTTGCCACCTCATTTCGCAGTAGTCTGCCTACGGCCACGTCCAAGCAGCAACTGCCTGGGACTGCCTTGTCGTACGTGGCAGTTGTGGCATAGCCTGCCTGCCAAGTACTTACCAAATCCCATCGCAGACGGACCCAAGTCCTGTACAGGATGTGTAGCAAGGCGATTGGTCTTTCCCGGGTCAGATTCTTCGGCAGCATTGCTATAAGGGAGACTGTCATTTGCTGCGGCCATGCTGCCTTGGCCTCACATTCATGGTAGAAGGACACAACGGCTTCACTGCTTTATCGTCCATGGCCTGCAAATGGTCAATCCTCCAGCCAACTTTAGTTCCACTGCTTTATCGTCCATGGCCTGCAAATGGTCAATCCTCCAGCCATCCGGCCCCGGGCTCTTTAGTGCCAGTTTTTTGATCCTTGCCTTGACCTCGACAGGGTTCAGCGGCTCCACGCTGGCCGCTTGTTTTTGGCTGCATCCTCAAGCTCCGTCATGAGCGAGGCCGATTTTGCCAACGGCTGGCCCGTCGTCCACACTGCCGCCCAGTGGTCTCGGCGAATGTGTGGCCGTTCCAGCATGTCATATTCCATGTAGGGTCTGTGTACCACTTGTTCTTCTTTTCGCAAGGCATTGTATAATGGTCGCATGCCCTTTTCCATGGCCTTACTGAGCCATTGCTTGTACTGGTGGGCTGTCTCCTCCATATCCGCCTTTCTCGCGTAGCATTGCTGTTCGTCGATGCGCTTCAGAACAAGCCTAGCGTCCGTACCCCGGCCCAGGATACTCGCAAGCATATCCTCCTGGTTCTGCGCATCACCCTCGTAATACTCGCCGAGCCTGCGTTGGACCAGACGCGCCACCGGATGTGCATCGCCATGATGTCTGCCTTGTTTGACCCATTGTTGGACCCGGTTCCAAAAGGCCGCCCTCTTGCCCGTCCAGACAACGTTCTCCGGGTTGTTGACCACCAATTTCTTCCGCACAATCTCCGATTTAACAACACCCATACCGTCGATTCGGCCTGTGATCGACCTCTCCACACCGGCACTCAGGTGAGCAAATGTCTCACTGAGCTCATCTACCATCTTGGGTTCATCCAAGATGTTGATGCTCTGTGTGTTTTGAACTGGTTCGTATTCCACAGTCTCCGTCACCAGTGCTCCCGCCTTCTTCATCTGGGGAACATCAGGGCTACTGCACGGTTGGGCTACCCTCCAATGCATTGCAGCATGAGGCCGAAAAGGGGTTTCCCAATCCGTTTTCACTTGCAGGATGGGCACCAAGCATTTCGCAACCAGCCCGTAATCGATTTCGTCCGATCCTTGGGCCGTTGGTTCCCCCACTCCAACAAATGCACCACCAACTTCTGTCGCCAGAGTTGTGCCCCTCATGGTATCCTGGGCTTCATTCCAATCACCCAGCACCATATATGGCACTTTGCAGCCCTTGAGAAAGGCTATCAGTCTCGCCAGTACTTGGATATTGTTTGGAGCCTGGAATCCGACCCCGCTCTCCAAATACAGACTGACGATGATCAAATCCCAGCCTTTATTTCTCATGGCACATGCCAGGAAGCCCGCCGGTCCTGTCCCATACTCAGTAAGGTATCGCAGGTTCCTATGTCGGGGTGCCACCACTGCCAGGCCTCCTTGTACACCCTTAGTTTTTGTACTGCCTGGCATGCCAATGAAGGTGTATCCCATATCTTGGCAATGGCTCATGGCTTGCTGGATACCCTCCGTCTTGAGATGGGTTTCCTGCAGCACCACCAGGTCCGGTCCTAGTTCGTGTATCCATGCCGCTATGGGTTTCCTCCAGCTGGTGATGTTAGCCGAGGTGATTTTGACGCATTCGGCCTTATCATCTTGGCGATACCCACTTACCACATCTGCCAAGATCCATTTGGCATATTGTGCGTCCTGCTCCACAAAGGAACGAAGCACTTCGTGGCATGCTCGTTGTTGTAGCGGGTTGAGTTCCTGCTCTTCCAGTTTCTCAATGGCTTCGAGTGCGGCAGCCTCACTGGAAGCATCATATCTACCCACCACTTGATAACAACATTTGCCACTCCTGTGGTAGATCCTTAGGTGGTGCTCTTGGGTGCGCTTTCCGTTTCTTGGGCTTTTGCTTCCTTTGGTGACCCTCAGCACTTTGCGAGGCCGACAACCTTGCTTCCTCAGCTTTCTGCGAGGCCTTTAGGCTATCCCCTCTTACCGCAGTTGGGTCTCCCATCTGTGTTTGGCTTCCCTCTGCTTTTTGCGAGGCCGAATTCACACATTCATCCTCATGGTCCGCACCTCCCAGACCGAAGTATCTGGGCCCTGTGACCGCCCAACTGCTATCCACAGCACGGGCTGACTTTGGACCCCGCGTTACTGGACTCCAGCTCTCTTGGCTGTCTTCCACTGTGCTGTTTGTATTAGGCACTTGGGTACTATACACAGCTTGACTGCCTTCCCCATGTACCTGTGGCCATACAATGTCCCCGTGACACTGCTTTCGGCCACCGTCAAAAGAGAAATCAGAGTCTCCCCATTGAGACTCCTCTACTTGTCTTTCTTTCATATTTTGGCTGTTCGGACCAGGAGCTGCCCTGAGGTGTCGGCCCCTCCGCTCCTGTCCCAGCCTGAGGTTTCACTCGCCCTGGGCACGCGCCGGCGAGCGTTCGCGCCCCGTCGGCGTTGCCCTGACTGACACATCTCGAGACATGCGCATCGGCCCATATATGCCAAGTTCAACTGGCATGCTCGGCTCTCTTGGTCCCAAGACTCCCGTCCAGTCTGTCTCCACGACTTTGACTGCCATCCTTGTTTTGAGCGCCTCCGCTTGCTCCTCAGACAGGATGATCCCTTCCTTTTCCAGGTAGGCCGCGACGTCCTTGTATGGCGAGTCCTCTTCATCCTTCACACAGGCTTGGACCTTCTTCTGTGCTTCCGCTACCTCCAGCTCCGTGGCCTGGATGGCCTGGCTGACTTGCGCAAGCTGCTTCATGGCCTGCTCAAACTCGCTCTTGATCTTCTCCGTTTTGTCTTGAAGCCGGACCTTCTTCTCAATGAGCGTTCTCAGCTTGTTTGTCGTTCGTCTGTATGTACCAACATGGCGGCTGAGTTCCTGCTTTGGCGTCTCGTCCTCAGGCTTGTAATCCCCCGGCGGGGGTATACCCGCCGCTCTGAGGAGCCTTTGCACTGCAGGCTCGGCTCCTTGCCACACAGTCTCAATGGCCGCATGGTACTCCTTCTGCGACATGCTTTCTGCCTGCGATCCATTGCCAGGTAATCCCGGGGGCCAAATTGGCCCCGGCTCCATCGTCCGCGGCTTCCATCCTGCTTCTTCGATGGCCTTCTTTGCCTCCATAGAAAGCGTACCCCACGCCTTCGTGAGGGCTTGGTCGGCCATCCCTTCTTTGTTCTTGGCAGGTCTTGTCCACCAAGTAGCATCTTCCTTTGGCCACTGCCACTTCTTCCGCTGGCTTGACCATGCTCGCTCACGGTAAGTGGCCTTTTTCCACGCCTTTCCGCAATGCCAGCAGTTCGGGTTGTAGTACAAGTCTTCATTCCAGACCCAACCCACCTCGCAGTGGGCACACACAGTACAATGCTTCCCCATGACTACTGCAGCCTGATGCCAGTCCCACCAGCACCTCAGCAATGCGAGGCCGGAAGATACCCTCAACCGTAGTGAGGCCGAACTTTATGTGTCCTCAGCCGGAGCGAGGCCGAAACTTGGCCACTCCCTCTGCCGAAGCGAGGCCGAAAACACACCCTCTGCCGAAGCGAGGCCGAAAAGTTCCCTCAGCACTTGGCGAGGCCGTACTCAGGCAGCTATGTTGCTGGCAGCCGACTACCAAGCAAACACAGTGGTTGCGGTTTGAGTCCTGTTGGAGCCCACCCTTAGGTACAGTCTCCAGGCAACAGCACTCCCTACCTGAGCACCCCACCGGGGTTGAGCCGAAACCTTGAGCCAGACAGGAACTTTCGTCTGCACGCTGCGAGGCGTAGCCACCCGAAGGGGCTGTGGGTTCAAGTGAAACAAAAGCTTGCTAAAACTGTGGGGTGAAACTGCCGGTAAGTTCCCCCTCTCATTCCTTGTCCTCGGTTTTGACGTACCGCTACCCTCAACCGAAGTGAGGCCGGAATGTCGTTTTGACCAAGTCGTTGCCATTGGCTTGAAGACTTTGGCCAAGGCAAATTGCCTGTATGCTTGCACATTCTCTGTGTTGTCTATTCGGGAGGTGATCCATGCCCTCGTTCGTGGAGGCCGCTATCCCTCAACCGAATGGAGGTCATTCCTGTAGACCCAGATGCTCGTTCTACGAGTCTCATTGCATGTCCTGAGTGCTTCCATCCACACCCCTCAACCGTAGTGAGGCCGGACATGTCTTCAAACCAGGTCATGGCCCAAGGCTTCATGGACTCTGGTTACGGTGGCTGCCTCTTGATGCACAGGGCATACTTCCTGTGGCTTTTGCCGGGAGGTGATCCATGCCCTCCGATTCTCAGAGGCCGCTATCCCTCTACCGGCGGGGTGGTCAATCCCCATACATAGACCGTTCCGATTGAGGCCCAATTCTGCACTTTCTCGTCATCTCACCTTGACGGATCCATGCCCTCGATTCACACATCTCCAACACGAGCCAAGCAGGAGGAACAGGTGAAGTACCTGCCCAAACATACCCCTTTTTAGGCTGGAGGACGCTAAGCGACCGAAATCGCCGCTACGCACCGGTGACCCCACGCCACACACCTTCAACAGGTGGCCGGTACAGGCGCCTGACAGGGGGCCGGGCAAGGTGCCGACTACCAGGTCAAACCCACCCTGCCTGTGAGGATATTATGTACGAGGCCGCTATCCATTGTGAGACTTGACATTCTCCAATCCAGCCGTAGCCATTGTTCCAAAGACAGTCGGCTGGCTCTCTTGTTTGCCACCAAAACTCCATACTCTCACTTGGGAGTCGATTACCCTCAACCGAAGTGAGGCCCACTCTGCAACCACGGGTTAGCTGCATGCTTGGTCCTTGTGGGCATTTCTGAAAGCAGTGACAACGAATCCTCACGGAGTACGTCCCGGCTAATCCAGGGTTCTCAGCAGCTCCGGTGTTCTCGCACTTACTAACCGTGCCTTGCTGTTCTCCCCAGAATCGCCCTGGCTTTCTCGCACTTACTTACCAGTCGACGTATTCCTCACCACAAAGTTCACTGCCATTGGGACTCGAGGCTTCTCCAGTGCAATGCTGGTACCTGCTCTTTGCTGGCCTCCATGCCTGGCCAGTTTCCTTTATCCATATTCTGGAGTTTGCTCTTTCCATATCTCACATTCCCTCAGACCTAAGTCGAGGCCGAATGATTGCTTTGTGTGATTGAGCACTGCTGGGCTGCGGTTGTCTTCTATCAATTGCTCCGACACACCGGCACCGCGGAGTCTATGCTTCAAGCTCTTGACCGCTTTGCACCCAGTAGCATCAGCCGTCCAAGCTGCATGCAGTGCTTCCAGAGTCTCCAGGACTCAATTCCGGCATTCATTCCAGTGCCCGGTCTGCCCATTCCATGTCATGCTCGCAATTATCAGTCCCTCTTGTGCCCATGCGGCATCTTTTCCAGGAACTGCTTGTCATCATTCTTCCCTCAGCTGAAGCGAGGCCGGAACTTCATGCACCGTTCTTCATCAGCGAGGCGTTTTCGCAACCCTTCTGTTGTTCCCTCAGCCGTGGCGAGGCCGAACCATCCATTCCCTTAGCCCGGCGAGGCCGAACCTTTGCTCCAGCATAGCGAGGCCGAAACTGCCCTTGCATAGCCTCACATGGCATCTCCGCTGGTTTCACGGGTTCTGAAAGCATTGTTCTGCGAGGGTATGTTGATCACCCTCATTCCGGCAAGCTAAGCCTGCATTCGGGTTTGCCCTCACATGGCCCTTAGTGGCGAGGCTGTGCTCGCAATTCAATCCACTTCCACTTGCCTGGTTACTGGCCGGCGACATTCCATCACCTCAAAGGAGCATCCATTCCTCATCATCTTCCGACAAGGCCAGCATCCTTCTCGACACATCAGGGCCATACACCATTATCACCAGCCTTCCCAGGTATCTGATTACACGTCCGCTGCCATCAATCATCAGGGATGGGTCTGTGGGATCGACATAGAAATCGATGTTCCAAAGTCTCGCATCTTCACAGCATCGGAAGTTCCGGAGCTGCAAGTGGAGGTTAGCTGCATTCAGGCTTCTTTGGACATTCCAATTCCCACAGCTGCCCCAGGCTATGTTGCCTCTCCTGGTGCGACGGACAAAGTGGATACGATATGACTGCGACAGTTCCAGGAAGAGTCCTTCACTACGCCCCTGGTGTGACCATGCAAATACACAGCATGCAATTGCCGGCATGGTCCGTCGCTCTCCGTCTGCCTTGCAGCAAGTCTCTTTGGCGTGTGGCACACTGTCCAGGGCACAGTGGACGGCCACTTTGGTCGCCGATAGCCCACGGGCGGAATCCTGGGGTTGAGACGGGGCCCTGTTCCACCAAAGGAAGTTAAGGCCTCGGAACCCGATTCGCTCGCACAGGTCTGCTATCTTCTTGCACCTCAGTTCCAGGAGGTGTTGTCCCTCAACCGTAGTGAGGCCGAACTCAGCTCAGGCGAGGCCGACAAACCCTCAGGTCGAAAGTTCCCTCAGCACTCGAGGCCGTACACAGGCAGCTATGTGGCTGGCAGAACTACCGAGCAAACACAGTGGTTTCGGTTTGAGTCCTGTTGGAGCCCACCCTTAGGTACAGCCTCCAGGCCACCGATCCGCTCACTACCTGCGCACCCCACCGGGGTTGAGCCGAGACTTGAGCCAGACAGGAACTTTCGTCTGCACGCTGCTTGGCGTAGCCACCCGAAGGGGCTGGGGTATCAGGGTGAAACTTACAAACTCTGCACAGTGAGACTACCGGTACTAGCCCTCACTTCCCTCAGACATTTGTCGAGGCCGAAATCCATTCCCTCAGACCGTGGTCGAGGCCGAAAATTCCCTCAGGTCATGCCGAGGCCGAACTTCCCTCTCTTGCACCCCTCAGACCGAAGTCGAGGCCGAAACTCCTCAGCCAGCACGCCGAGGCGGTATTTTGATTCGGTTTTTTTTTTTTGGTGCCTCTCTGACCACTATCCATGTTTCTTGTCTGGTCTGCGCTGCTCACTCATCAGCTTCGTCATACGGCATGCCCAACGTGATTTTCTGGATCTCTGTTGCCGGAACCGAAAGTAGGGTTCCATCCCATCCTCGTTTTGCAATCCCGGCATCCAGCAGGTGCTGGGCAAATGGCCCGACATTGCCTACGCACGCCATCCAAAGCGCGCTGGCCTTGCCGTCGTACGTTCTGACCAATCCACGTATGGTTGCCAGTAGCTCCTCATCATATTTCTCCAGGAGGCGTACGAGGCCGCATGATAACTTGTATCTCTCCTCCTGCAGCGTCGTCCACTCCGCCGTGTCAAAGAACACTGCCCGTGGTAGCGATCCTGACATTGGGTCGCGCCCAACGTTGCTCACCGTGACATCCGATAGAGCAACTCCTTGCATGGTCAGCCATGACGTTATAGCCACCAGGTAAAACAGGGACTGTCTGAGGACCCCGGCTTCATGGCGATGTTCCTGCCACCATGTGTTGAACAGCTCTGCCCTGCGGATGATACTTCCATAGAAGTAGTGGTGGCAGTAACCCTCCACCGCTTCGTCGAAAAGGACTCCAATCCATCCTGCCCACAGGGTCCTGGTGACCAGGGTGGGGAAGTGTTCCCCATACCCTGCTTCGTTGCCAAAGCTCTGGGGTTCCATCGCTAGTTTCATGACCCATAGCCGATCCAGAGCATATCCTCGTCGAGTGCGCCCCGCACCTATAAAGGGAAGCACCCTAGGCTGTAAGCTTTGCCCTGTCGTTGGGTTGCGGACCAATTGGACCTCCCCAAGCCAATGGAGCGCTGTCCGTGGCCTTTGCTGGTTCTGCAGTTTATGCACCAAAAGGTGCACAGGCTTGACTTGCCCCATGGCTTCCTTTTTCTCCTTTCCCTCAGCTTCCTGCGAGGCCATATTGTGGGCACCTGGCCCTTCCGCCAGCGTGACTGTACGAGGCTGGCTTGCCTCTTGCTCTTCATTGACACCCTCAGCTTGGTGCGAGGCCGCACTGTCTTCTCCTCTCTCCCGTAGGCGTACCGGACCCACCGGAGATTCCGAAGCACTCTCCTCTTCCCTATCCCAAGGCTGCTCCGGGTGTCTGGCCTGTCGAAGCGGGGAACGTTCTCGGGGCTGATCCTTCTGCTTGTTCTTGCTTTTGCCCTTGCCTTTGTCCGGCCGATTCCTTAACCAGGATGGCAGTCGGGACCCTTGTCTTCTCATCGTAGCATCCGTCTTCCATTGCCTCATTGCTACAGGCCCGCCTTGTGCAATTTAGAAGCCCACAGTTGCTTCCGCTCTTCACTGAGGTAGGTCTCCGCTTGGTAGACCCAATCGTTCCTTGTGCTGCAGCGAGCGAGACTGCGACACGCCGCTTTTAGGTGAGTGTAGTTTGCCCTCTTGGGGTCTGTTTCCAGGAACTGCTCCTCCAAAATTGGTTTCCACGAATCCTCCAATTTGATTCGCACCTGGAGGGTCAATTTCTCCGGCTGCTCGTCCGGCCGGTCTTTTGAGGATGAGGACGCCGTTGTTTCACCCTCAGCTCTGCGAGGCCGAGGCCTCCTCTCTTACCCTCAGCGATGTCGCAAGCACGCGGCACCGCGAGGCCGAGCTACACTCCCTCAGCAAAGCAAGGCCGTAAACACCAATCGCAATTCCCCGTTGCGAGGCCCTCACCCTCAGCTACGAGGCCGAAAACCCTGTCGCCTTGCACCAAACGGCTGCGGAATTACTGCGTTCCCTCAGCTTGGCGAGGCCTAACAAACAATGACATCTTCTGCTGTGCGCTGGCTTGGGGCTTAGCTTTGGCGTGTTTCCCACCAAACTGAACGCGAGGCTGTTGAAACTGGACGTTGCTCATACTTCCACCATTGACAAGGGTTTGCGCTTGGGTAGCCAGCTTGCCCTGAGAAGTCCGCGATTTGCACTCACCCGCCAGGCTTTTATTGCACTTCTGGCTGACCGGTGCATGTGTTCTGTCACACTTTGCGCAAACCCAACGGATTCCCAAATTCACCATATTATGGGAGGGGTGGATACCCCACTCTTCACGCACTCGCGCCTCCGGCTGGTTGACGCAGTACTGCTCCAAGACCACCTCCAAGTTCGTGAGGGTTTGTTGTACATACAACCCGCACAGTTGACATTTCAGTGTTAAATTCCGGGGGTGTTCGCTGCCCTTCTCCCATTGATGCCCGCGCTCCGGGTTTTTAAGCAACTGCCAAAGCCGCTGGCGTTTGTTGAGTTTGGCGCTGCCCTGCTCTTTTTTGCATCCCTCAGCTTTCTGCGAGGCTTCCATCTTCTCTTTGTAATGCGCATGGTCCAGGATGAAGGGGAAGTCTTCTTCTTTGCGCTTCCGCAATATGTGGGCTGCGCGTGCACCGTACGCCAGGGAAAGTGTGCGCACCACATTGTCCAACTCTTTGACACGCCTCTTGTGCGCTGGGCTGTAAGCAGCCGCCGCCACTGCTCCACATACTTTGTCTGCCATGTCATTCGCTGCACGTCGCCACAACGTACCCGGCCCCATCTTCGCCAGGAATTCCTCTTCAGTTTTGTGGGACGGGACCCATGTTGCCTTGATACGTTTCCTGTCATTCCACACTTTGCTCCATTCCAGGTCATCCTCCGGCGGTTGTGTTTTTTGTAGCACTTGGACTGCCGGCTTGCAATCCATAGTGACATCAATCAGATCCTCCGTGTGCTCCATTAGTCGGAAAAGTGCACGGCGCTCCATGTCCACCACCGGCTGCCACGGGTAGACCAGCTCTGTAATCCGTCCGACTTCCACCAGGACACCTTTTGTCCAGGACATAGCCACCACTGCGAGGGCTGATGTTTGTACACGTGGGTCTATTCCTCCTGGACCTCCACTTGCGTCAGTGGCGAAGATCAAGCCTTCCGCTTCCACTTTTGCATCAGCTGCGAAGCATCCTTGGTAACGCAGACCTAAAAGGTGTTCCGGCGGCTTCGGGTGCCACACCGCCGGCTTCGGCAGGAGTGCCCTTGTCCACAGACACTCCCATGGGTATTTGTGACGCAAGTATTCCTGGAGCTTGGGTTCTTTGAACCCTTGTTCACGCCAGTAAGGACATTCCTTGAGGACATGCTCCAGAGTTGCTGGCATTTGGCACTTCTTGCACCATCCTGGCTTGGACTCCGTGATGACGCCCGCGTGCCACACTGACTTTATACCTTCCATAAGGCCTGGGCTTAGGCCTCCCAGCTTCGTCAGCTTGTGATGCGGCGTCCAATCCAGCCCCTCTTGGGCACCAGCGCCACCTGCCTGTCGCGCTATTGCAGCCCGTTTCTGTTCCTCCAGGAATCCCTCAAGCCATTTGTAGGCGAGGCTACCCATGCGTGGCTGGGTCCAATCAACGTTGAGGACACTTCCTCTCTTCCATTTGCCTGGGTCACTGGCATCCACCTTCAGATCCATTAAGTACGCCATGGTTGCTGCCATCGGTCCCGCGACCAGTGGCCAGTGGTGTTTGGACGAACTCAACCTCTTCCAAGTGGTTTTCCAGACCAAGTCAAAGTGGGCTTTTCCGCCACCAATCCATGCACGGAAAACTTTGGCCACCACTTTGAAATGCTGCTTGTGGATTGTGCGCTTTGGATCCTGGCATTTCTTGGCTCCCATGTCCAAGATGGTTTCCAAACTCCCAAGCTTGTATTTACCCAGGTGTTTTCCTACCACTGTTCGGAGCCATTTCATTCTTTTGGGTGATACCCCCACAGAGGGGTGCCCCCACAAAGCAACGGACGTGATCGCTGCCTTGACCACGCGGAGTTTAGTGCTGGGCGGCGGCCCCAGCCTGGACAGTTTGCTATGTCTCGCATGGGCTTTCTTGGCCCGCGTCGCCGACGTCACCAAGCGACGCTTTCGCCCCCCTGTACTGTCGACGCCCAAGTCACGCATCACGTCGTACACCTGTGGCTCATGAGGCAACAGGAGTTCTCGCAGGTGCTTGCTCGCCTGGGTACTGCTGGCCACAAACCCTGTCTTCTTGGATGAAATCGTGAAACCATTAGCGTCCATCCCGTCCTTTAAGCTGCGGTAGACTCGTATGGCACTATCCGCCACTTGTTTAAAGGACTTATGCTGGATGTCAATTGAGACATCATCCAACCAACAATCCACGTTTGCCACATCTCGTCGCCTTTGGATCTTATCTATCACCGGGTGCAATGCCACCTTTGCCAACGATGGCGCCGCTGGGCAACCCGCTTGCACGCCATTTGTAGCTCTGATGCCTGCCGACAGCACCCCATCCGCCACCAAATATCTGGCACCCATGTACACTTCCAGTGCCATCTTCAGGATTAGCGGTGGATATTGCAGGGCCGTTGCTGCCCTGATCAATTGCTGAAATTGGATGGTATCGAAAAAGGACTCGAGGTCCACAAAGAGTGACACCACATGCACTCCATTTGTCTTCGCCACCTCATTTCGCAGTAGTCTGCCTACGGCCACGTCCAAGCAGCAACTGCCTGGGACTGCCTTGTCGTACGTGGCAGTTGTGGCATAGCCTGCCTGCCAAGTACTTACCAAATCCCATCGCAAACGGACCCAGGTCCTGTACAGGATGTGTAGCAAGGCGATTGGTCTTTCCCGGGTCAGATTCTTCGGCAGCATTGCTATAAGGGAGACTGTCATTTGCTGCGGCCATGCTGCCTTGGCCTCACATTCATGGTAGAAGGACACAACGGCTTCAACTGCTTTGTCGTCCATGGCCTGCAAATGGTCAATCCTCCAGCCATCCGGCCCCGGGCTCTTTAGTGCCAGTTTTTTGATCCTTGCCTTGACCTCGACAGGGTTCAGCGGCTCCACGCTGGCCGCTTGTTTTTTGGCTGCATCCTCAAGCTCCGTCATGAGCGAGGCCGATTTTGCCAACGGCTGGCCCGTCGTCCACACTGCCGCCCAGTGGTCTCGGCGAATGTGTGGCCGTTCCAGCATGTCATATTCCATGTAGGGTCTTTGTACCACTTGTTCTTCTTTTCGCAAGGCATTGTATAATGGTCGCATGCCCTTTTCCATGGCCTTGCTGAGCCATTGCTTGTACTGGTGGGCTGTCTCCTCCATATCCGCCTTTCTCGCGTAGCATTGCTGTTCGTCGATGCGCTTCAGAACAAGTCTAGCGTCCGTACCCCGGCCCAGGATACTCACGAGCATATCCTCCTGGTTCTGCGCATCACCCTCGTAATACTCGCCGAGCCTGCGTTGGACCAGACGCGCCACCGGATGCGCATCGCCATGATGTCTGCCTTGTTTGACCCATTGTTGGACCCGGTTCCAAAAGGCCGCCCTCTTGCCTGTCCAGACAACGTTCTCCGGGTTGTTGACCACCAACTTCTTCCGGACAATCTCCGATTTAACACCCATACCGTCGATTCGGCCTGTGATCGACCTCTCCACACCGGCACTCAGGTGAGCGAATGTCTCACTGAGCTCATCTACCATCTTGGGTTCATCTAAGATGTTGATGCTCTGTGTGTTTTGAACTGGTTCGTATTCCACAGTCTCCGTCACCAGTGCTCCCGCCTTCTTCATCTGGGGAACATCAGGGCTACTGCACGGTTGGGCTACCCTCCAATGCATTGCAGCATGAGGCCGAAAAGGGGTTTCCCAATCCGTTTTCACTTGCAGGATGGGCACCAAGCATTTCGCAACCAGCCCGTAATCGATTTCGTCCGATCCTTGGGCCGTTGGTTCCCCCACTCCAACAAATGCACCACCAACTTCTGTCGCCAGAGTTGTGCCCCTCATGGTATCCTGGGCTTCATTCCAATCACCCAGCACCATATACGGCACTTTGCAGCCCTTGAGAAAGGCTATCAGTCTCGCCAGTACTTGGATATTGTTTGGAGCCTGGAATCCGACCCCGCTCTCCAAATACAGACTGACGATGATCAAATCCCAGCCTTTATTTCTCATGGCACATGCCAGGAAGCCCGCCGGTCCTGACCCATACTCGGTAAGGTATCGCAGGTTCCTATGTCGGGGTGCCACCACTGCCAGGCCTCCTTGTACACCCTTAATTTTTGTACTGCCTGGCATGCCAATGAAGGTGTATCCCATATCTTGGCAATGGCTCATGGCTTGCTGGATACCCTCCGTCTTGAGATGGGTTTCCTGCAGCACCACCAGGTCCGGTCCTAGTTCGTGTATCCATGCCGCTATGGATTTCCTCCAGCTGGTGATGTTAGCCGCTGTGATTTTGATGCATTCGGCCTTATCATCTTGGCGATACCCACTTGCCACATCTGCCAAAATCCATTTGGCATATTGTGCGTCCTGCTCCACAAAGGAACGAAGCACTTCGTGGCATGCTCGTTGTTGTAGCGGGTTGAGTTCCTGCTCTTCCAGTTTCTCAATGGCTTCGAGTGCGGCAGCCTCACTGGAAGCATCATATCTACCCACCACTTGGCACAGCATTTGCCACTCCTGTGGTAGATCCTTAGGTGGTGCTTTTGGGTGCGCTTTCCGTTTCTTGGGCTTTTGCTTCCTTTGGTGACCCTCAGCACTTTGCGAGGCCGACAACCGTGCTTCCTCAGCTTTCTGCGAGGTCTTTAGGCTATCCCCTCTTACCGCTGTTGGGTCTCCCATCTGTGTTTGGCTTCCCTCTGCTTTTTGCGAGGCCGAATTCGCACATTCATCCTCATGGTCCGCACATCCCAGACTGAAGTATCTGGGCCCTGTGACCGCCCAACTGCTGTCCACAGCACGGGCTGACTTCGGACCCCGCGTTACTGGACTCCAGCTCTCTTGGCTGTCTTCCACTGTGCTGTTTGTATTAGGCACTTGGGTACTATACACAGCTTGACTGCCTTCCCCATGTACCTGTGGCCATACAATGTCCCCGTGACACTGCTTTCGGCCACCGTCAAAAGAGAAATCAGAGTCTCCCCATTGAGACTCCTCTACTTGTCCTGCTTTCATATTTTGGCTGTTCGGACCAGGAGCTGCCCTGAGGTGTCGGCCCCTCCGCTCCTGTCCCAGCCTGAGGTTTCACTCGCCATGGGCACGCGCCGGCGAGCGTTCGCGCCCCGTCGGCGTTGCCCTGACTGACACATCTCGAGACATGCGCATCGGCCCATATATGCCAAGTTCAACTGGCATGCCCGGCTCTCTTGGTCCCAAGACTCCCGTCCAGTCTGTCTCCACGACCTTGACCGCCATCCTCGTTTTGAGCGCCTCCGCTTGCTCCTCAGACAGGATGATCCCTTCCTTTTCCAGGTAGGCCGCGACGTCCTTGTATGGCGAGTCCTCTTCATCCTTCACACAGGCTTGGACCTTCTTCTGTGCTTCCGCTACCTCCAGCTCCGTGGCCTGGATGGCCTGGCTGACTTGCGCAAGCTGCTTCATGGCCTGCTCGAACTCGCTCTTGATCTTCTCCGTTTTGTCTTGAAGCCGGACCTTCTTCTCAATGAGCGATCTCAGCTTGTTTGTCGTCCGTCTGTATGTACCAACATGGCGGCTGAGTTCCTGCTTTGGCGTCTCGTCCTCAGGCTTGTAGTCCCCCGGCGGGGGAATACCCGCTGCTCTGAGGAGCCTTTGCACTGCGGGCTCGGCTCCTTGCCACACCGTTTCAATGGCCGCATGGTACTCCTTCTGCGACATGCTTTCTGCTTGCGATCCATTGCCAGGTAATCCCGGGGGCCAAATTGGCCCCGGCTCCATCGTCCGCGGCTTCCATCCTGCTTCTTCGATGGCCTTCTTTGCCTCCATAGAAAGCGTACCCCACGCCTTCGTGAGGGCTTGGTCGGCCATCCCTTCTTTGTTCTTGGCAGGTCTTGTCCACCATGTAGCGTCTTCCTTTGGCCATTGCCACTTCTTACGCTGGCTTGACCATGCTCGCTCACGGTAGGTGGCCTTTTTCCACGCCTTTCCGCAATGCCAGCAGTTCGGGTTGTAGTACAAGTCTTCATTCCAGACCCAACCCACCTCGCAGTGGGCACACACAGTACAATGCTTCCCCATGACTGCTGCAGCCTGATGCCAGTCCCACCAGCACCTCAGCAATGCGAGGCCGGAAGATCCCCTCAACCGTAGTGAGGCCGAACTTTATGTGTCCTCAGCCGGAGCGAGGCCGAAACTTGGCCACTCCCTCTGCCGAAGCGAGGCCGAAAACACACCCTCTGCCGAAGCGAGGCCGAAAAGTTCCCTCAGCACTTGGCGAGGCCGTACTCAGGCAGCTATGTTGCTGGCAGCCGACTACCAAGCAAACACAGTGGTTGCGGTTTGAGTCCTGTTGGAGCCCACCCTTAGGTACAGCCTCCAGGCAACAGCACTCCCTACCTGAGCACCCCACCGGGGTTGAGCCGAAACTTGAGCCAGACAGGAACTTTCGTCTGCACGCTGCGAGGCGTAGCCACCCGAAGGGGCTGTGGGTTCAAGTGAAACAAAAGCTTACTAAAACTGTAGGGTGAAACTGCCGGTAAGTTCCCCCCTCTCATTCCTTGTCCTCGGTTTTGACGTACCGCTACCCTCAACCGAAGTGAGGCCGGAATGTCCTTTTGACCAAGTCGTTGCCATTGGCTTGAAGACTTTGGCCAAGGCAAGTTGCCTGTATGCTTGCACATTCTCTTTGTTGTCTATTCGGGAGGCGATCCATGCCCTCGTTCGTGGAGGCCGCTATCCCTCAACCGAATGGAGGTCATTCCTGTAGACCCAGATGCTCGTTCTACGAGTCTCATTGCATGTCCTGAGTGCTTCCATCCACACCCCTCAACCGTAGTGAGGCCGGACATGTCTTCAAACCAGGTCATGGCCCAAGGCTTCATGGACTCTGGTTACGGTGGCTGCCTCTTGCATGCACAGGGCATACTTCCTGTGGCTTTTGCCGGGAGGTGATCCATGCCCTCCGATTCTCAGAGGCCGCTATCCCTCTACCGGCGGGGTGGTCAATCCCCATAGACCGTTCCATATTGATTGAGGCCAATTCTGCACTTTCTCGTCATCTCACCTTGACGGATCCATGCCCTCGATTCACACATCTCCAACACGAGCCAAGCAGGAGGAACAGGTGAAGTACCTGCCCAAACATACCCCTTTTTAGGCAGACAGGAACTTTCACACCCCCGCTTGGACTGTGATGCCTCAGAGCCACGCACTTCTTCACAGCTCGGTGTTTCCAGTGCTTAAACATCTCATCCCAGGCAAAGTCCGAAAGCGAGCACTCCTACTGCCGACCTAAGAAGGTGTTCCTACAAGACCTAACGTGACTTTCGCAGCACGCAAAAGAGCTCTACCCAGTTTAGTCGGATAGATACCTGTTTCTTCGACACTAGCAAGTGAAACATGCTGATGACTTTTGTCACAGGGCTTTCCAGAGAAGATTTCACTCCACTCCTCTCGGTTTGTAGCAAAGAACCACCGCTTAAAGACCCCGTCGAAGGCACAACGGTCCACAACCCTTCCAAAGTTCAGACCAAGGCGCTTCTTTTCTTTCAGATAACTTTCCTCCTTCCAAAGACCACAGTTCTTTGGCCATTCCTGGGTAACCAGGATCTCTTTGCAGCGGTCCTCCAGAAGTCTTCCTAAAGCTTTCCAAGATGCAACATGCTTCTTGACCTGCTCTCGCCACCGATGTCGAAACTTCGGTCGATGCCAGTTCTTAAAGCGGTAGCTACATCCAGCGGTACACGGGGAAGCTATGTGGACATAGATCTGGGGCGGTTTCCTACTCAACAGACACAGCAAGACCTCTCCTAGAAACATTTGAGTACTCTTGCTTAAGAAGTCTTCTTTCTCAGTTATGCCAATATATGCTACTCGGTCACGAGCACACGCTCGGCACAACGCACTGTCCGTTGAACAAAACACCTCGATCACAAGCAGAGGAACAGATCCCAACGCAAGGTCTCTTGCCACTGGCTCGTACTTCGCCAGGTTTGTCGGGATTTTCTCAAGCTTTTCACATACTTCTTCAAGTTCTTCCATTCGTTCACGAAGGTGTTCAGGAACTACAAGACCCTGAAGGTCTTCTTCACACACTCTTTCCAGTCCACACGCAACCAGCAAATGCTCAAGCAACAACTCCTCAGGAGATTTCGTCAGTCCATCGGCTGGATTCCGTTCTCCACTGATGAAGCTTAGAATCAGCCTTTCCAGGTGGACTAGCTCTTGAAGATAGCGATGACGAAGCTCCAGGTGCCGAACACGGCGTAACAACCCCGTCATTTTGCTAATCGACAAAGCGGCTTCCGAATCCGAAGCCAGGTGAATCGGAAACTCACCGGTCTCTCCTTTGGGCATTCCATACAGGAGCGTTTCCATGAGCAAAGACAAGTACACCGACTCTTTGGCTGCCTCAGTCAGGGCTGCCAATTCGGCCTCCGCCGAACTCAACGCGGTCACCGACTGTTTCCGCGAGAAAGTTTTAATCATGATGCCATGCCACTTCACAATAGCACCAGACACAGAGCAAATGTTCCATGACGCATCCACAAAGCCAGAGAGCATGGTTTCCGAAGCGCAGCAAGGATACTCAAACGCTTCTGCCGAAAATCGCTGAAGGTACTCAGGCAAAGCCATCACCCAGCGAACCACGCGTCTCAAGCAAGCTTCTGCCTGGCTATCTGGGTCACTCTGATACCGGCCCAGAAATCCTACCGGGTAGGACAAATGCGGCAACGTCAGGCTTGCCCACATCAACTTACCAAGCACACGTCTATAGCGTTCATACGCCTCAGTGCTGATAGGTGTTCCAGCCTCCTTCTTCCGGTACTCCCTCTCGAGGTTTCCCAGCACTGGTTTCACACCTTTTCCGCTAATGCCAAACTCTTCTCCAAGCGACTTCAAGTACCCCGGCTTCAGGCCAAAGAACACAGGTCCGTGCTCAGTGGTTCGGGCGATCACTCGACCCAAGAACTCGAGCTGCCCAGTCTTGCCAGGTTCTAGAAGCCCTGTCTGCTTCATTTTATAGATCTTCGCTAGCTTAGCGTACAGATCCTTGGCAACTGGCGGATTCTGGGAAAAGATGATGAGATCGTCAACATACACTAACACCAAGGTCAGCGCACCATCCTTCTCAAGCCGGTGATGCACAGTAGGGTCGGCAGTCTCACCAAACCCAAACTGCTTACGCAGCGTGCTTGTAAACTCTAGGTACCAGCTCAGTGGTCCTACTCTCAAGCCATTCATGGCTTTGTGTAGCTGCGCAAACAGCGGCTTGTTCTCCTCATCATACATCCCATTCGGAAACCGGATACACTCTACTCCCTGCACAGGCGCTTGCATGAAGGCAACGCTCACATCTGCTGACAACAAGGTGCCACCTCTGACAGCATGAATAGCAAGGACACCCCTCAAGGCTTCCAAAGACGTGGTGGGGGAATATATCCCATCAGCTAGAGGATTGGATCCAAATGCATAGTCCCTCACAACAAGACGAGCACGAACGCGTTCAGGGTTCGTGGCCGACGGTTTCGAAGTCAGAACCCACCTAGTCGTATGGATTCTCCGCGTAGCTCGTTTACGGGCCTCAGCTTCTCCTATAATCGTAGCTACACCAAAAGCATCAAGTTCTGAGAGCTCGAGTCTCATACCTTCTTCAAGATGCTTACGAGGCAAAACCTTGCCAGAAACTTCGCAAACCGCATTGTCCGGGACATGGACCCAAATCTTCTTTCCACCAAACTTCATACGGAACCACTCTTTGACATCATCTCCCTTACGGATTTTTGTCGTTACTCTCAAGTCAGGCCCATCAAAGAGTTGCCTAAGGCCATGCTCATAGAGCCACGTCAGGCCCTCTTCCATGGCATCGTCTTCTCCTGGATCCATAGGGGCGTCAAGGTCCTCAAGACCTACGCCTCCGGGAGGCTCAACCTCCATGCCTGTTTCTTCAGGCACGTCCGAAAAATCCGGAGAATACCCATCCAACTCTCCTTCTTCTTCCATTGCCTCAGGGCCCTCAAGAGCAGGTGGTTCGGTGCGTTCAACAGGAAACTCAAGACTTCCTTCAGGGATATTTGGGGAATCAAGCGGCGGACTCGGACCATCGATTGGAACATCAAACTTGATGGGTCTTTCAGGGTCTTCCTTATTACCTCGAAGGTCACGCAAAGCAGCTTTGTCAAACTCCACTGGATCTTTGGCACGAAAAGAGCTGAAGATTTCCAAACGAGGGGGCTTTCCAACACCCATTGGAACAAAGACTCGAATCCCAGATCCATTAGCACCATGAGGTCCTACATAGAGTGCCCTCACCAAGCGCTTTCCGCGGTGTTCTGGGTAGTCCTTCTGAGGCTTTCCAAAGCCCACAACCCCAAACTCACAGCTCTTCACTGGCTGAACTGTCGACCCACGCAGTCTCTCCAACGGCGTGCTGTGTTCCTTGGACACATGAAACAAGTTATGCATCCTCACAGAGTACCTCATGGCCTCAACAAACAGATGGCTCCCTAGAGGCAACTTTTCACCTACACGCTCTTCTAAGCCCAGCCAAACAGACCAGAACGCTTCTTTCACAAGGCAAACATGGCGTTCAACGATGCCCTTCGCTTGAGGTCTGTTTATCGCGAACGGGACCCAGTGCATTGACCTCCCCCCGAATGTCCGGTGTTTCGCTGCATTGCGGAAAACACTCTCGAGGAGATTTTCTTGGTCCCCGTGGACAACAATGTCCAATCCACTCAATCCCATTTCCGTAAAGGCTTTGCAAACCGATACAGCGGGCACTTCATCCTCAGGTCCTAAGACCACGGTATGTATGTACCCCGACACCACATGAACCATGAGAAGGAAACGAACATTCTTTCCGAAAA